CCCAGGCCGCCAGCAGTGGAGCGCGCACACTTAATGGCTAAGCCACGGGGCCAGCCTATATGGTACTCATCTTATGGGACCACTGTCGTATATGCGGTCCATCATTGACTGAAACGTCATTATGTGGAGCAGCAGTGTAGTATAAAGTATAATTACATGCATGAGAATGGAAGATAGCCTAGGTTCAACTCCTTAGCTTCCACCACTTACTCGTTGAGGACCCTGGGCAAATTACTTTGAGTCTTATTTATTTATTCCCTTATTTATTCCCCTGTAAAATGGGAGTAACTGGTATAAGCACCTACCTCATAGAATAATTAAATGAGACAATTTACATACTTAGAACAGAGCTTGGTATATAATAAATACTTCGTAAAATTCAGATATTACTAGGTTTGCATATCTATAATACAGATTTTTCAACAATTCAAAGATACATCAGTGTGCCCACAGTTAGCGCGGCATTGGGCAGATATGTCACTCTCTGTCTTAAATCCTACCAGTAACTTCCTATCACACTTGTAATAAAACACAAAGTCCTTGCCATAGTCCTGCATGATCTAGCTTCTGGTCACCTCCAGACCTCATCGCCAGTCTAGACACTTTTGTACCTGCTGTTCCCTCTGCTTCAAACACCCTCCATAAGGTTCCTGCCTTCACTTCATTTGGTTTCTTGTTTACATGTCACTATAGAAAGGTCTTTCCTATCAATTCCATCCAAAAGCTCTTTCTGTCACCCCTTCCACTAGCTCTTTATCTCGTTATCTGCTTTATTTTTCTTTCTACTTGTAATTAGTGCTAGCCATCACATTTCACATGTATTTATTAATCTGCTTTTTACCTGTCTTCCCCTGCTAGAATGTAAGCTCCATGCATTGAGGGAATGCGTGTTATACACAGCTATATCATAAGTTTCTAAAACATCGCCTGCATTTAAGGAGGCTCTCAATAAATAGTTGTCAAACAACTGAATTAAATAACTAAACAGGATACAAAAATGCATAACACATGGTCTAATTCCTTAAGGGGTTTATAATCTTACACGGAAGAAGAAACACTGACAACCATTATAATATATTATTGCCTCAGTCACTTTAAGTTTTGAAGTTATTGCTAAAATGAGTGATAAATTTTTATTATCTTCATCCAAGAGTTAATTGTTGGAGTAAAAAAGCCCTTCGTGTACACTCATTTAATTGAGAATAGAACTAACAACATTGTTATTCTAGTCTCTGGTTTGCTAGTCATTGTTAGTCAAACTATGTTTTATGCATTCATTAGGAGGCACACCTAAGTGTACTTGGAATATTCTATATATAATGTGACTAGAAGACATTTCCTTTGACAGATTTACTCAGTCAAGGCTAATGTGCAGTTGTAATTCATTGCCGTTGCCTTTCTGTTCACGTTACCATCTAATCAGGTGAATGCAAAGCAGTGAGCCAGAACTCTGCCTGGTACAGAGAAGCTGGGAAGGGAGACGGAAAAGAAGGAAGAGGTTCTATGAGCTGACTCTACCGACAGCCTGAGGCTCTCATTCCTGAAAACCAGTTAGTCACACAACTTCACCCTTCACTTAAGCAAATCTCTTTATATGTAACCTCAGGCTTACTTTGATGTATTAGGGAGAGGAGAGCAAATAACAAAGGAAAAAAGTGAAAGTATCAGATTTAGAAGACACCATCTCTTCTAAATTGTAAGGCCTTTGAATGTTTTGTGCTTTTGTGGCTGATTTTACAAAGGTCAGTCTCAGCTCTGAGCCTAGCTAGAAAATCAATGAAATGGTCTTTTCATCAGGAACAAAGACATCAATTCACAGTTAATGAAACAACTTTTGTAAAGGGTCACAGTCAAGCCCATTCATTTTTTTAAAAGGCTTTCCAAAATAAGGCAGCAAGCAAAATGATTGTTTATTTAATGTTTTATAGCATCAATATTAGTTTTAGATAGCTCTCATACACACAGACACATGTGTATCAATCCTGCACAATCCTGGCTTCATCACTCCCTAGCTATGAGGCCTTGTAGCTGTTTTACCTCTGCTTCAGTTTCCTCATCTGTAAAATAGGTGACATTATCTACCTCATAGGGACGTTTTGAGGAGTAAATAAATAAGATGTGTATAAGCACTTTGCACACTGCCTGGCATGTAATAAGTACAGTCATGTGTCGCTTAACAAAGCGAGTACATTCTGAGAAATGTGTCCTTAGGCAATTTCGTCATTGTGCAAACATCATAGAGTGTACTTACACAAACCTAGATGGTATAGCCTACAACAAACCTAGGCCATATGGTACCAATCTTATGGGGCCACCATCGTATATGTGGTTTGTCATTGACCAAAACATCGTCATGTGGTGCATGACTATACTGGACAAATGCAAAGCATTACATTTATCCATTTTGTATCCAGAATTTGCCACTTTCTCTTGATAATCATACTCCCTTTCTTCCTTTTAGTAACAGTATTACTACTAGTATTAGCCTAGTATTAGCTGGGCACATGGTTGTTCAGCAAAACATCACACTTCCCAGCTGGGCATGAACATCTAAATTCTGGTCAATGGGATATGGGCAGGAATGACGTGTGCAACTCCTCTGAAAGAAAGGGGTTTGCCCTCCAGGCTCTCTTCCCTCAGGCTAGAACCTGGGTGTGGGAGAGGTGACTCTTTGACCAAGCCCACACAAACAACACCCCAGGCCATGGTGGCAGACTGAGAGAGAAGGTGCTGAGACCCTGCAGGTCTCCCTGGATCTCTCAGCTGCTAGGACTTATATGTTGGAGAAAAATAGACTTCTATCCTGTTTAAGCTATAACTGTTTGGTTCCTATCAAAGTGGCCAAATGAATATTCTAACTAATGTTAACGTATTTACTCAATTTTAAATTATAAAAGTTTATAGCGAGGTATCTTGATATTTATAGCTGTGCTCTTCCATATTGATCAGTTATTTGATGTTAAGTCCATTTAAGGGGAAGACAACCTCATCCTGCCCAAATTAAAACATAAGTCACACGTAGTCTCTGGGTCCAGGCAATGGACACCTGGATGACTGTGACAGAAATCCATAACTAAGTGACCAGCAGACTACCAGGGAGGCGGCTGTTGAGGAAGGTCATGGGGTCAGAGCACAGGGCACAGGGTGAGTGGGGGCTCACACTCTTCCAAACATAAAAATGGGCTACCCAATATTCCAGTGTCAGGGAAGGGAGTTATAACACTCTACTCAACAGCATCCACCTACCAGCCTGAGGTAGTTCTGCAGCATCTGAAGAGGGATCATAGATGCGTAAGTCACACTACTGAGGCAGCCTTCTTGAGGACCTGTAAGAAAAAAACACACCGAAGGAAAATTGGCTCTTCCTTGTTAAATATAAATGATCAAAACACAATAGAATCTATCATAAAAGATACAACATATCTATTGACTTATGTAGGCAAAGCTGACATTTGGCCAAGACGCACCAGTGTGCCTCGACCATTGTGAAAATATTCTAACACTTTGTACCGGCTGGTAAACAGCCACTCCCCAGCTGCCCCTTCCTCCCCCCAGGAAGCTCAGCTCCCATCAATCACAGCCAGGTCTCCAGATCCCCGCTCCAACACTGTAGCTGGTATCTGCTCTGATAGCTGGATTCAATATTTTACTGTTTATAAGCAAATGTTATCAGAGATAATCCCAATCTTCAGCAAGTTCCAGCCTTGGCCAGCATTAATGCACAGGTCTGGGGTCTCCCTTTAGGCCTATTTCCCAACCCCCCTTCCAATTCTGCCATTCTCTCAAAACACTGTTTGGGCCTAAAGAAATTTTCTGGAATGGTCTCACACTTTTTTTTCCCCCCTGAGCTTCAGTAAGTACAGTTCAAACAATACAATAAAACTTGATTAGCTGAAACTGAATTTTTAAAGACTCCATTCCGAAGTATGGGAAACACATGATGAAATCAGTAGCCTTTTAGAGTTAAGGGCTGATAAATTGAGAATTCCTATATCACTTACCAGCTGTACGACCTTAGATAAGAAAATCAATCTCTGAGCCTTAACTTCCTTGTATATAAAATGAGGGTAAACAGATTTCATTGGGTTGTTCCGAGGATTGAATGAATTTATACTTGCAATGTGCTGTCAACAACAGGGCCTAGCACACAGTAGGTGCTCATGAACCATGAACTTGTCCCATTATAATAGTCATATAAAACATACACTGTACTTGACAGTAACAAAAGACATTTCTCTTAACATGGTATCTGTCACTCTTTCATCAGCACTAAGTTTGGCCTCTGGTTTGTCCCTAACGAGAGACGCAGTCAGAATCGCAGCAATCAATGGTCAGGACAGACGTCACCACAGGTGTCAGAAACATGGCTTTCAACTTTTCCTTTCCTTAATCGAACGTTTCAAAAAACATCTAATTACTTAGTAGTCACACGTGCATGACTAGAGAACACAGGACAAAAACATGCAGATTTAAGAACCGGTACCACAAAACAATCATGAAGCAAACCCCTTGTCAACGTTACCTCAGTCTGGAATATCTTTACCTGACAAAAGCACAGTGATCTGCTCTGCTTTATTTTTCCTCATGAAGTCCCACGGGGACTGGGTGAAACTCTGACCTGCTGACCACGGCACGTTTCCTAGTTCAAAAAAATGAAATAAAGTGTCAAGAGAAGCTTAAAAGTAAATTTTCATGAGGGTCAATGTATGATTTCCTCTGTGAGAATCCTAAGGAGTCCAGAGCTTAAACTGTCAAAGGCATACACAGAAGGTCAACAGGAAGACCTTCAAACTACGGGCTTCTCCAAAGCAGTCCTTAGGAGAGATTAAGAGAGAAATCTAGAGAATGAAATTACAACTAAATATTTCTCGGGTTAAGTTTTCAAGAGCACAGCTGATCACAACCTTTCATGGTTCTTCCAGTGCTCGCTTCACCAAGTCGAAGCACTCTGGAGAGATAACAGGTCCTTTATGATCTGGTCCCTGCCTCCCTTTCCAACAAATTTTTAGATTCCAGAAAAAACAGGTAACTTCGGGGGTTTAGAATAAAGCAAGCCTTCTTCACAGTCTGGGCCCTCTGCTCACTCTTGCTCACAAAGGGCCCCACTTCACAGATGTCTACTTGAGGGAGGGATTAGTCATTAAGTACTTGTTTCCATCTCTCCCCTTCCACAGATCAATTCTTAAATACCTATTTCAGCACGCCCCCAACACACACGCATACTCTGCATACCCCACCCATAACTCTCTGCTTTTCTGTTGGCCTGGGTCCCTTTAACTTAGCTTAGGTTAAAGTAATACAGTAAAATCACTTATATACATAACGTTAATAACAATCATGTTATAGTTACCAATTATCAAGTGGCTACAGCAAGGCACTAAACTAAGCCCTTTACCCAAAAACTCAAAGATTTTTAGATCTGAAATGCTACTAGGGTGCTCTGCACCCCAGTGACAAGCATGAACATTGGAACCATCAAGGCTTAGCCTCCTCTGCTCACAGAGGTAAATCTATCCGATGGTGAGGAATATCTATTTGCTTTCGCCAGTTTCCGGATTAGCTGGATGAGGGCTGACGGTAGAGGAGCATTTCCTTTAAAACATGGTTGTGCTGACTTTATTTATCAGACCCCTGGGCAGAACCACACCTGAGTAACACTCTGCTGTGTGGGCAAAATGTGTTCCCAACAATCATTTATGACTGATTTTCTTAATGCAATTATTTAATTATATGCTAATTCTTCTGTAATAATTACAATTATTTTAATGATCATGCCACAGAGACATAAAATTAAGCTATTATGAATAATTTGGTTTAAACACTAGTGGTAATATATGTTTTGAAAGTGTTTTAGCATATATGAGTGAACAGAATAAAACATGTCCTGATATAACAAGCTGATACATTAATAGCATGGTGAAACTCGCTCGCTCTTCCCTCAGCCTTGACCTTTCTTTTACAACATGGTGCTGATGAAAATATAAAGGCTTTCCTATCAGGCAGACTAGCATTTGAATCCTGATTGCTTTGCTCCTTAGCTGCGTGACCTCAGGCAGGTCATCTTATGACTTGTTTAGTTATCTGTGAGATGAGCCTGTTGTAAGGACTTGCTGAGGTCCCGTCTATAAAGCACCCAGCATGGTTCTGGCATAGCAGCAGACTCTGCATAGATGTTAGTTCTCCTGGTTTAAGAGGAAAGAAACTAACCAGGACAACTCACATTTATAGAGCACTAATTATGCAATCTTAAAAGTTCTTTGGAGTCTGTTTCATAATGCCTAGCAAACAGAAATAACCAGTTATCACCTGACTCATCCCATGTGGGAGCTTTGATTGTATTCTCATTAATGTGCTTCTTCCAACTCTAGACTTCATTGGGACTCCCGTCCTGGAGGTAAGGTGTTAATGTACTGCATCCCTGGCATAGCCCGAGTACAAATTTGGAGCTGTGTTCAGAACTTGTGCATCAGCAAGCAGCTGCAATGTGGTTAGTTTCTTGCACTTATCAAAATAGCAAGTGCAATCATAAAGCCTCATCAAGGGCTTTTATGTTCCTTACTCTCTAAGCATTGAGGCATAAAAGCATTTTTATACGAACAGACAACATTATGTAATGGCTGCATTGTGAATACTCAAGGTCTTCAGCACCAGCAGCTGCCACAAGTGAGCTTTCAATATATTTAATCAATGAACTAAGTATCAGGTTATTGAGCCCATAAACATAAATAAACCCCAACATTTAACTTTCTCTCCATTGCACGACTGCTGATACCTAGTGTGATGGATCGCACACTGCTTGCACCGAGGCCAATGCTGGAGTCAGTGGTGCTATTAAACGTCACATCTTCCAGACTCCACCACCCATCAGAAGAGATGGCTTGGAAATGATTTGTCAGAGCTTGACTCACTGCTTTTGAGAAATCATCCCATGATGTCTGTTTGCGGATATTTAAAGCACATATTGTGTTTTCACATTCAAAGTCATCAGGACCATAGTTGCCTGGTTGAACCTCACCCACTGAAATCCTTAAGGGTATTTTAAGAGCATCTGTTGGAAGAATAAAAGAATTAGGAAAAAGAAATCCTCATAGAAAAAACAGCAAATAAGCCGATATTAACATTTTAAAAACAAAGCAAAGCAAAGGGAAGCTACCATATTTCTTTAAATAACATTAATTGAATGTTCTACTAGAGTAAACTTTGGTCCCCCAGTCTCTTAGGAACAACGTTGCTTGAACTGTTTACCTTTCCTTGTATCTTTGGCCTTTTCTACTTCATTCACTCTTCCCCTTCAGCAAGATTCTAAAGTTCTTAAAAAAAAAAAAACTGAGAAAACTAAAGCTTTCTCTTGACTCTGAATTCTCTATATTGCCCTTTTTCCTCACCTTCATTGATACCATCATGAATAAGGCAGGTTATAGTTGTACAGGTCAGTGTGCTTAGGACAGTGGCTTTAGACTCATACAGACGTTGGTCCCAGCCTCAGGGTCAGGCTTCTACTAGCTGTGTGTACTTGTTAAATTGCCTCAATGTCTCTATACTCCAATTTCTTCTATAAAATGGAAAGAATGTGCAATTGAGTTGTTATAAAGAATAAATTAACTCATGTTTGGAATGGATTTCACACACTCTGTTATACGATAAGTACCAGTAAGTATTTGATAAATGGTAAACGGTGCAGAAGCTTCTTAAATGATCTCTTCAATTTCTCTGTGACACCAACTGACTAAGGCCCCACTGAGATGGGCAGCACCCTATATATTTCTGTTCTCATGAATTGAATTATATGCTTACCAACAGTCACTTGTGTTTATTTCCCTATCTTCTATGTCTGTTGAACTCATTACTATAATTAATAAATATTCCATAAACTGATGAAACGAGTTACTACTCCTATGAAAACTAAGTTGAACACTTTAGAGACACTGAACAAAGGAGGTGATAAAAAAAAGTCACCTAATTAGGTATGGATGAGACAAGTACACAAAATTAGAAAAAATCTAATTATCTCTAGACAGATACTGCCTTTAGTTTGCTTCATAAATATGTTTAAGTCTTCAAACACTAGAAATCATAGATGAAGTATTAAAGGTGTGGTTTGTTCAAACAAGAATATGTGGAACTTCAATCATCAACCTAAAAGTTGAAGAAAAAATTACTTTGTGTGTTTTAAATTTAATGTTTAAAAATGTGTAGTTTTATGATCTACTTCTTGTTTTTTTTTTTTTTTTTTGTGAGGAAGATCAGCCCTGAGCTAACATCCGTGCTAATCCTCCTCTTTTTGCTGAGGAAGACCGGCTCTGAGCTAACATCTATTGCCAATCCTCCTCCTTGTTTTCCCCCAAAGCCCCAGTAGATAGTTGTGTGTCATAGCTGCACATCCTTCTAGTTGCTGTATGTGGGACGCGGCCTCAGCATGGCCGGAGAAGCAGTGCGTCGGTGCACACCTGGGATCCGAACCTGGGCCGCCAGTAGCAGAGCGTGCGCACTTAACCGCTAAGCCATGGGGCCGGCCCAATGATCTACTTCTTAAACTGACTTTTTCCATTAACTGCCCAACTACAAGATTATTTTATTTCTGATTGTCACTTCTCAGTCCTCATCCTACTTATCAATAGCAACTGACACAACTGATCTCTCTCTGCTCTCTGATGTACTCCTACTGGATTTCTTCACACCTCATTGGTCACTCTTCAATGTTGTTCCTTTGCTGGTCCCTCCACTTTTTCCAGATTTCTTAATGATAGAGAGTTGCAAGGGTCAATTCTCTTATTTTTTCTATCTGTATTCACTTCCTTAGTGATCTCATCCAGTCTCATGACTTTAAATATCATCTATAGACTGCTGACTCTCAGATTTATATATCCATCTCATACTCTTCTCTGGAATTCCTGCTGACGTGACATCTCCACAGAGATATCCTAACAGACATCTCAAATTCATTGATCCAAAACTGAACTCCTGATCTTCATTAGCAAAATCTGCTTCACCCACAGCCTTCCCCTTGACAGATGACGGCAACTCCATCCTACCAGTTGTCCAGGCTGAATACCTTGGAGTTATCCATGAATCCTCTCTCTCCTACTTCACATTCAATCCACCAGGAAGTTCTGTTGGCTCTACCTTCAGCTGTATCCAGAACCTAACCACTTCTCATTTCCTCATCTGCTATAATCCTAGATTGAGCTGTTATTAGTGTCTCTCACCTGAAATACCACATTAATGGCCTAACGAGTCTCCCTGATTCTACCTGTGACTTTCTATAGTCCATTCTCAACAAAGCAGGCAGAGATATTATTAAAAGGTACACCAGATCCTGTCACTCCTAACCTAAAACACTGAAATGGCTAACTTAGGTCCCTGAGATGGCCTACAAGTTCCAACAAGATCAGGCCTCCACCCCCACCCCATTTTGTAACTTCTCTGACCTGTTGTTCTACTTCTCTCCCTTTTCCTCATTCTAACTCAGTCATTCTGGCCTCCCTGCAGTTCCTCAGACACAACAGGTATGCTGCTCCTACTTTAGAGCCTCTGTCCACTTGATATTCTGTCTTACTTGAGATTTCTACAGCCGCCCTCCTGACCTCCTTCAAGTGTTTGCTTAAATGTCTTATCAGTGAGGTCACCCTGACCGTCATTATGAAAACTGAAACCCACCCTAACATTCTCAACCTCTCTTAGCCTTTTCCATAGCACATATTAGCATCTCTCATACTATATAATGAATTATTTCTCATGTTTATTGTTCATTTTCTGTCTCTTAATATTAGAATATAAGCTAAAGTGGAATTACTGATACAGCTGGCTGATTAGACAGATTGAGCAATAATCTTGATATGAGAGGTCATGATATTTTGTATGATCTACCACTTCATATTCATAAACCCCCAAGTGAACCTTTCATAAAATGTGCTGATGAGCATATAATCCTAGAGCTGGAAGGGACCCAAAGGATCATCAATTATCTTCATAGACAAGTATGCAACCAAATGTTGAGAGATACCAACTTGCTGCAATTCACATAATCAGCTAATGGAAAAGTACCCAGCCACGATTTCTCATATTTTGCTAGTCTCATGTCTAGAAAGACAATCTAAATCAGAAGAAAAGAGCGATAATTGTTTAAATACTATCCATGGCCACTAAAATACAAGGAAGATCGAAGATTATTTGAATAGCAACTAATTCTGTAAAAAGCCATGCTACGTGGAAAAAAATAATCACCACATTTATAATCAATAAAGTGTTTTTGTAGTAGCTAGGGCTCAAAGAAGGCTATGAAGAGAATGAGAAAACTGCAGCTGCATTAATATTTTCCCATTGTCCCAGAGGCCCCAGTAGAGCAGATGAAGGATGAACAACAAAGCTGTGAATGGCACTCACTCAGATTCTCTAGCAGATGCTTGCAGTCATCAGTGGCAACATCGTGCGCAGTCCGATTGCACTTATCTCTCCTTTCTGGCTCAAGCCCTCCGTGCCTGCACAAGATTTCTAGGCAATTCTGTAAAGACAAGAGCTCTATGACCTCATGTCCAAATGAATAAACTCAAGCAAAAAACATCCAAGGGAAAAGTCAGTTGCCTGTAGCAAGCAAATCAGAAGTTACCAGCTAGAAATCTTATTTCAATAACACCAACCCAAATATACAGATTAACCTCAACAGTGTCTCAAAATGAAAAGCAACGAGTGTTTCATTTAAATGCGAATCACAGGATCAAAACTTTGCTCCACAGAACAGCCTCTTAGGTTTCAAGAGAAAAAAAATTAGCTTACTAATCATTTAATCTACAGAGTGAAATTAAGAAAGAAATTGATTTCAGCAGGCAGAATCCTTTTATGGTAATTTGGCAATTTAAAGCAAAAGACTTTTGCTAAACCAGATGCTCCTTGCTGTTTTCTAGACTATGAACTGCTTTTCTGGTCACATAAGTGCAGGGCTCCAATTTTAACAATTCTGTCCCAGAGTCCTCGTAAGCACATTTATATTTGAGATCTTATGCTGTCCTATTTTTTTTTTTATTTGAAAAATATAAAAGCCATGTTGATTGAGTTTTTAGAAAAACATTCCCAATAGATATTGAAGTTATGTGCCCTCTCTTTTTCAGTTTTTCTGCTGTGTTGCTTCAGGAAATATCCATTCAAAAAATATCAGTAACCTATGAACTGAACAGTCCTAGTTTTCCATAATTTTTCAAATCAAAGTAAAAGATAATATATACGCAAACATTTTCAAATAAACAATTGCACAGCAGGATGTTACATCAGGATATTTATTCAAGGAACTCTGCTATACCAACTTTTACCACGTCATGATTTGTTTACTGATTTCCCACCAGAATAAGCACAAAACTGAATAGACCAAAAACCATGAAAAAGAACTAACAATCAAAACAAGCAACGTCCTTCTCATCACTCCCCCCAACCCCCAACATACACACACTACACACACACAGGTTCTGGGCTGGCTTCCACTTCTGACAACACAGTAAACCAGGAAGTCTGAAAAGCTTTCTTTAATCTTGCTTTAAACACCCTTCTTCTTTTTGTAAGATGTCCTTTTCCTTTTTTATGTAAATATTTTTATTGACATATAATATCCACATAGAAAAGAATACAAATAAATGTACAGCTTGAAGAATTATTAAAAAGTAAGGAGCACGTTGGAAGCCTCCTTTATGTTCCACCCTCCTTTATATCATCCATCCCCTCTCCCCCCACGGGTAACTACTATTATGATTTCTAATGTCAGAGATTGGTTTAGCCTCTTTACGAACTTTATATAAATGGCATCATACTGTAGGTACACTTTTATATTTGGCTTCTTTTCATTCAACATAATGTCTGTAAAATTCATCCATGTGTTGGAAATAGTCATGGTTCATCTTTTCTTTTTTTTAATTACTATGTGGTATTCCATTATACAAATATACCACAATTTACTTATCTATTCTCTTGTTGATGGACTTTTGGGTTCTACTGTGAACGTTCTAGTACATGTCCTTTGGAGGACACATGTACACATTTCTGTTGGGTCTAAGTACCGAGCTGGACTGCTGGGTCACAGGGTATGCATATGTTCTCCATCAACAGATACCGCAGAGCTTTCGAAAGTGGCTCTACCAACTTCCACTCCCACCAGGAGCAAACGTGAGTTCTGGTTGTTTCATATCGCCCCCCAAACACACCTGAAATGCAGTCAACAAGTTCACAAGGAAGTACAGGAAATCCATACGGGTCAGAAAGAAACACAAAGAGTAAGCTGAAACCACCAATAAGTGAAATTTGAACAGGAAGCCAGTGCTGGTTTGAGAGTAAAGCCAATAAAGAGAAGCTTTCTGGATGCTGGGGGATGGGAGACTAGGCCTTGGGACCCACATAATGGAGGAGCTGAAGCAGAGGACCCCTGACTGAAGAAAATCTGTCTGCCTGCAGTGGGAACTGACTAGGACATTGGTTTCTCACTGCCCCTGCTCAGGTTGGAGGGGTCTCCTCTAACAATTGTAATCCAAGTCTGGCTTTCATGGGTCTGAGGTTCAGATTTAAGCTAAGAAATGAACTAAAAACACTCAAATATATAAATAACAGTTCTTATCAAACTGTTACTACTAATTTGTACAAAACCAGTAAATGTATAAGACAGTTAATAAGAAATTCACAAATATTGAATTGGAAATTAACAAGAGAACTAAGTAGAATACAATCTGAGCACTAAACCTTGTGAATTCCCAGATGATGAGATAAAAATAATACATTACAAAAGTTAGTACTTGCAGAAAAGCAGGTAAGAGTCCAAACAGACCTGGATTCTAATCCTGCCAATATAAATGATTTTATCTATGACTTTTGGTAAATCATTTAACATTTTTATGTTCAATTTCCTTATCTGTGTTTCAAATATCTATATTTCATAGAGTTACGTGACTTAAAAGATGCATAAAGACCTCTTATATTCTCGGCATGTACTAAACTCTATTTATTACCTGCTCTTATTATTATAATCAACATAAGCATCACCAATTAGAAAATAGCCCAAATATTCAGTTAGGTGGTGAGGAATTACAGCACCTCAACAAATGTCACTGATCTCAAACAGAAATGATAAAAGATGCAACCAAATCCTGCAAGATTCTTTTATGTCTGACCTTCAAAGTGGGTTGTATATAATTTTTATTTCACTCAGCTAGGTCAGTGGGCAATAATATAAACAGTGACTTTCTCTATAAGGAAGCACAAAATGTCAGTCCCCACAAAGACAGCAGGATAACACATATCCAAACACTGCCGCAAGTGTGAATTCTACAGCGCCATGCTGGGCTCCGTCGGCAACAAAGAAGATGAAAACTTTGACCCTGTCGACACTTCGCAACAACAACCACAACAACTACTGAGCGCATACTAAGTTTCAGGCACAGTTCCAACACTGCACAAGTCTTTAGTGCTCGTCAATCCTCATGACTTTATGAAAGAGGGACTAAGCACCTCTGTGCCAGGCGCCATGTCAGAGCCAAGGGTTATGACCACGAATAAGGTAACGGTCCTGTTTCTCAAGGAGGAACGCAAAGTGTAGTAAAGAGACATGGGGAAAATGTACACAGGAAATGGGGCTGTTCAAGGTTGTCCAAAGGTTTTTTTTTTTTTTTTGGTGAGGGAGATCAGCCCTGAGCTAACATCTGTTGCCAATTTTCCTCTTTTTGCTTGAGCAAGAGTGGCCCTGAGCTACCATCTGTGCCAATCTGCCTCTGTTTTGTATGTGGGACACCGCCACAGCATGGTTTGAGAGCGGTATGTAGGTCTGCGCCCAGGATCCAAACCCGCGAACCCCAGGCCGCCAAAGCGGAGTGTGCAAACTTAAACCACTATGCCACCGGCTGGCCCCAAGGATGTCCCAAGTTTTACTACGTGGAGGAGGAGGTGGAGTAGGGAAAGGTGGAGAAAGGAATCTAAGCTCTCTCCTTGATGGGTGGGATTGAGTGAAGAGGATAAATGCTGTGAAGCCAGTCACTGATTCTGGAAATGGATTCCCTGGGGGCCTAAACTGGGCAGGGCGCTCTACCCAAGTGATGTAGAGCAAGAGATCTGGATGAAGTAATTTAAGCCAAAGTCCTATTAATTACCAGACAGATACATCTGCAATAACAGAGACTTAAAAAGCAGTGGTTTAGGTTCAGCTTTCACTTCCACTCACGTCCTATTCGCCAGGTCTTAGGTACGTAGCCACAGTTACCTGCACTGGAGGCTGGAGAATGTAGTATTTATTTTGGGTGGCCATGGACCCCACTAAAAACTGAGGGATCTGTTACTAGAGAGGAAGGGTAGAAGAGATGTTGAGGGCCAATGAACCATCTCTGCCATGGTCCTTTAAAGAGAGCTGAGAAGCAAGGTACCAGTGCCAGGGAGACCAAGTAGAAACCCCAAGTCCAAAGGAGCTAGAGATAAAATCAAAGTCAGGATGGGAAGCTGAGAATTCAAGACTGGGCAGAGGGAATGAAAGCAAAAGCAGTTTGCAAGTGCACAGGTAGGGTCCAGCGCAGGTGCTGGGAACAACCTTAGGGTGTGGGTGTACCCAATGTTTTGCAGAGCAAGGGAGATGGAGACTGTTAAAATGGGAAATAATGGCATAAGCAAAAAGGGAGAAGGAGGGGTAAGTCACCAAAGATGAAGATGGCTGGAGTCAGCTGTGAAGGGCTGAGTGCTGAGGAGTTTGGATGCTTTTCTGAAGGCTTGGGGATTTTGGATACTTTTCTATAGGCATGAGGATATGTTCAGGTAGGGAGATGCCATGATCAGCTCCGTTGGTTCTGAAAACCAACTGGTGCATTCGGAAGAGATATTGGAAAGGAGGAAGGCGACAAGAGGGAGCCCAGTTAAGAAAGAACTGTAATAGTCCATTTACTCATTGATTCAGCAAACATTTGGTACTGCGGGCGAGACTCTGCTGGGAACAGTATACACAAAGATGGAGAAGTGATTTTTTGGAGGAGGCAGAAAGAGAGAGGGGCATGCAAACAATTACAGTAAAGTACAAGCTCTCTAAGTGAAGTGTGGAGAGGTGCCCTGGGAACACCTAACTCCTGGAAGCCAAGACTTAAGCTGAGATATTTCTAGGCAGGGAAAGATCAGGACAGGAGCAGAGACCACCTGAGGTAATGGGAACAGCAGATGCAAAGAAAGGGAGAGAAGACAGAGCAAAGGATATGTGCACAGCAGCTGGCAGGGCATGGTTAGAGCACAGAATGTATAAGGGAAGGAGACAGGAAGTGTGCCTGTGGAGGTAGACTAAGGTCAGATCAGGAAGGCACTTGTCTGTCATGATAAAGGTCTGGCACTTCTCCTGGAAACGACAGAGCCTTGGAAAGATGAAAGGTAAATTACATGACCAACTTCCCCCGTTTAGAAAGGCCTCTCTCAAGGCAGTGTAGAGGAGCTGGAGAGACTGGAGATGAGGAGACCATAGCAAGGCCCTGTTCAAGTCTAGAGAGCAGATGATGAGGGCTCCCCAGGGGCAGTGCCAGGAGATATGGAGAAGGCAACATATTCAAGGTTCATTTATAAAGGAATAAAATTTAGAGTTGCATCAATCATTTGAATTCATTAAGTTAGGAAGATGAAGCAAGTAAAGCCAAACGTCAGGTGATGTTATTGGATTAAGAGAGGAAGAACAAGAGATGCAGCAGACTGGCTGAGGAGCACACACATGGGAGCCCAAGGATGCATCCACGTGGAGCTGTCTGATGGAAGCAAAAATGAATATGGTCATCAAGAGGGTTACCATATAACTGTCTAAACTGGGACACTTAAGAGTAAAGAGGGGGCACTGTTAATAATTACACTGGGATGACAGACATAAACAAAGACTGTGTTGGGCAAACTGGGAAGTTTGTTCCTCAAGTTATCAAGGGGATGCCCTGTAAACTGTGGCCCTCCTGGACAGGACCTTTCTGGATGAATTCAGGAAACGGTTAGTTGGGCTAGAGATAAGATTTTGGAATCTCTATAGACTGTATTCTGGGGATCAGTAAGATCATTTAAGGGAGAATGTACAGAGTGAGAGGAGAAAAGGGGTCAAATCCAGATCCATGAAAGGTGTTATTGGAAAACACTAGAAAGTCCATGTCTTGGGTGTGGGATGGAGCATGACCCCGCCACCTAGTTGGCTAAGTTTGTGTTAGAATCCTAGAGGATTCTGTCAGTTAATCCCTGCTGCTCAAATTAAGCAAGGATGCAATACTCTGCACTGAACATTCTGGAATGAGTGCTAAAAAAAAAAAAAAAAGCCTTCCCTTTGTTTACATAGAGCTGAGTCAGTCTGGCCTTTTCAAAAATAATTTTAGAAAAATTAAGGCAAGAAAAGAAATAATCATAGAGAATCAAAAACAGGTTCCAAAGAATGGATTTCTATTTATCCTAATTAACATGTAGTCCCAAAGACTTGGTCCAGTTTCATAGGTATCTTGTCTTTCTCTTCTCCTAGCCAGGTACCCAACTCTATGTGACAAGGATGAAATTTAGTGACTCCTATCATCTTTTTCTCTTTATAGCCATGACCTAGAGAAAGGGAGTTTAAATCTTGGGGTCCCGTGTGAGCCTCTGCACTTGAGAAACACACCTCATCCCGACCACTCAGTTGGGGCAGATGCTACAGTGTGAGAGGAAATGCCTGACATTCACCTGGCTAAAAGCTAACAACGCATCAGACAGACCACAATCCTAACACGATGCAAGAATGGCCTAATGATGGCAACAGGAGGGCCACTCCCTGACCAGAGGACAGTGGGTCTGCTCAGAGATGACCTCTAGGAGGCTGGAAATAAATGTCTGGAAGATAGGTAAAAAGGCAGGCATGGAGATTTGGGTTTGGGACTAGTTATTGCAGAAGCCACAGTTAAAGCTGAAAGACTAGGTAAGCTCTTAAAAAATAAGACTAGGCAGCTGCGAATGGAGCTTGGGAGTTGCTTATGGTTAAAAAACAAAACGGAAGAACAAAGAGAAAGCCTGGTCATCAAATTTAGAGGGGAAGTGAGGAAGGGGCAGTGTTCTGGGAGTGGAGGGAGGAGTTGGCAGTAGATAGTTAACATGTTAAACATCCCAGAAAGACTGAGTAAGAGCACGAGTGATAGGAAGTCACTGGCTTTGACCATATATAAAGTTGAATTACAGTCTACTCCTGCAGCAAAAACACACACAGATCCCCAAAGAAAGAATCCCTTAGTATGAGAGCTTCAACAACAAAGATGCTCAAATCCAAACCATTTCCCTAAATGTTCCTGCTGCAGGAACTTGATGTCAGAGGTCTCATGACAGAACAGAGAGTTTCACTAAGAAACTCTTCTATCTGTTCACACTAAGTGATGAAAACAGGTTTATCCTCAACGATTAGTTCAGCTCCGAGTAGTCACAGGCCAGCTTTAGAGAGAGGTACTCCTATGACCCAACACTAGATGATGATTTGCATAAATTGCTTAACCTTTGGGAAAAAGACCAAGGACTAAAATGGAAAAAGCACTGATTTGGGAATCTGATCTTCTACGAATTAACCTTGGGGAATGAGTTACACTATTTCCCAAGACTTAGTTTTTTCATCTGCAAGATGAGGAGCTTGGACTGGATGAGCTATGTCCCTTTGAGCTGTGAAATCTGACAATTCTTTATTGAAATACATGAAACTGAACTCATCTTCTTGAGTAACGATGGTACTACTACCTTATGTAGATTGGACACACATATGCTACTGTAGAGAGAAAAAACATTTGTTTTTTTAAGCTTTACTTGTGGTCACTGTAGAATCTTCTACTCATATAATGATTAACTCAGAACTGTAATTTATTTTCACAGAAAACTGGTCTTAGCAATTTAGTTGTAAATGGATTACCCTTCTGGAGAACTGTCTTAGCCAGGATAGAAACATTGTATTAGGCAAATGATACAAAAATATTCCCCAATACCTTTTGACTAAGAAGGAAGGCAGCACGGTATAGCATGGAAAGAAATGAAATCAGACAATCTGGGCTTCATTTCCAACTTCTATCTATTCTTCCCTCCAGGGTTTAAATGTCCTAATCATAAAATGAAGAGGTTTGACTAGAAGATCAAGCATCCACTCTAGGCCTAAAACAAATCTATTATTTTAATCTATTATTTTACTTAGCAGTGTGTGAATGTTGTCAGTTATACTCACCTTTTAAAATCTCTCTTTTCTTGTTCAAAATTCATCTTATGCTTCTTAAAGTACGAGTATACAGGGAGAGTCATATTATATGTGAGAAAGAGGTCATATTTCCCTTTACTCAGCAATGACAGAGCATCTATGTTGCCAGGGGCTGGGAATCCATGAAGATAACATCCCTCATTACAAATAGCACGAGGACTAATAAGGAGTTCACAACTAAGGAGCTGAGTGGCAACACAAGCCCCCTACACTGCAGGGTAACTCACCCTAAGGAGTGGATTCCTTTCTCTGCCTAGCATGAGAGATTCAATAGCTAAATATTCTAGATCAGCGGTGCTCAGGGTTTGTTATGCATTTTTTTTTTTTTTTTTGCCTCCAGGTTGAGGCATGGGTACAATCCACTCCTATCAGTAACATCTTGCATCGTACTCAAAGAGATTTTCTTGAGGGTGGAAGTAGGCTGCAAACTACCCCTTTGATGCACCTTTCCACCATCAAATGAGATTCACTGTCTTAGATTAACTGTACATTTTCAAATTTAAACTTTTCACATTTCCCTTCTTTGTCCCCTAAAAATTTGTATGTCAAATGGTATTGCATTCCATTGAAATTCAAATCACAGAATTTTTGTAGGTTGTTTTGTTAAAGGGTAAAATGGGAAAAAAACTACTACTAACAAACAATACTTCCACACTGCACTAAACCATGCCATTTTCTCACTTTTATTTTTTTTTTAAAGCCAAAGTCCCAAATGAACAGCTTCTGCTCTAGATCTCAATAATAGGAAGTTACCCAACCAGGAGCACCAAATGCACATTTCTAGCCATGCCCAGATTTCTACATCTGGATGAACATAACACAGCACTTAAATTCAGCATGTCCAAACCCACATTCTATCTTCTTGATCACAATGATGCCTCTTTTCTCTTTCTGAGAAAGTCACTATTATCTTCATTTCTCATATCTAATGTGTCTGCCATCCTTAGACATTTCTAGTCTGTAATCTCTCTCATTATTTCCACCACTCTCATCATCTTTCCCTTAGTCTCTCTCCCTGCCACTAATTTTTTCATAACCCCAGATCTTCTAAATGTTATTGCTAAGTTCATCAATTTAAACTGTAGAGCTGATTATTTTGCTCCTTTGCACAAACCTTTCAAAGGCTTTAACTCTGACTAGTAAATAAAGCCCAAACCCTCTAATATATCCCTGAAGGTGTGTGCCATACTATGAACTCCCAGTCTAGTCTTATTCTCACTACTCATCATTAGCTCAGATGAAGCCGTTACCCACCTCCCTACTTTCAGCTGCTGTTCCTCTTGCCCTTTCCATCTGAACGACTCTCCCAGTGAAGAGTGGCAAACTTAACCTACTCTGCAAAGCCCCAAATCATCTCCATCTCCTCCAGAGTGAGCCATTTCTGAGCCTCACATCCTGCAGCTCTGTGCTCTGAAATACGTGCATTCTCTCTTTTTTCACAAAGATACAAATTTTCATTTTTATACTGTTCCAACCACATCTATCACCTTTGCTTTAATTTTTTGTACTTCTCTTATCCTACACTTGTCTTGTACCCTGCACCCTTTCCTCTGAACTAAGAGTTACCTAGTGGCATAAGTGATCCCTGCAAACGTTAGCCTACAGGGTGCCTTCTACTCAGGAGCATCCTATAACTTATTATTGCTAAAGCATACTATTGCTAATGTGATTTAAATAGAAAAAGAAGTATGAGTGAATGGCCTACTATTATTTCCTTAATAAACAGAATCTTTTTCTACTCTAAGTGATGAGTGAAATCTAGAGCTCCCTCTTATATATCAGTAAGACAGCATGGGCAGGGTATAAGCGAGGCAGTTCAGAGCAGCGGGCATGCATGTGAATCCCGGCCCTCCCTCCAACTATTAGCTTGGCCATGGTACTGAATCGAACAATCCAGCGGACTAAATCAACACCAAACTTCTTCTCCTAATTTTGGATGAGAGAAAATGTCTGAAATTACTCCCACATTTCTTGTTAACAAACTCCAAATATAATTTTTATGACAAGTCTCATATACCCTTGACCATAAATACCTGCTGGACAGAAAAGTCAGTTCTTATTGGCAGCTAATCATCCCTTGCAATCATATCACTCAGTCTCCAATTATTCACTTGAAACATACTCAGTCAATAGCAGACAACTTTGCCACTCATCAAATTACCAATGTGTAATGAGGCCGCTGCTACCAGACACACCTTAAAACCCTTTGAGGCAGCAATATGGGCAGCAGTCCAGCCTTCTCTGTCAGCGTGGTTAATGAGGTCTGCAGGAACCACAGGCTTGAATATGCCTTCAGGACTCTCTTCTCCTTGATGGTCCAAGTCAAAGATGCCTGACTCCGGCTGCTCCTCATGCAAAGAGTTTCCGCGAGCTGGTGCTCTATGGTACATAAGAAGCTTAAGGCTGTCCACATTACCAGTATCCACAGCTGCGTGAACTGGTGTCCAGCCATCCTGAAAATAAAATGACCAGGGGGAAAGGGGCATAACATTAATGCTGAGAACAGTGTAATTTAAAGTTCACCTCTAAATGTTCTTGGGCATGGACCACTGAGCTGGGAAAAGCCTGCATTCCAATCCTGAATGTCACTGATGAGCAGAGTCAAGTTCTCTGACCTCTGTCAATTACTGTATTTCCCGTTGCTATGAGTCATGTTTGCTATTTTGTAAGAATTTCCACTGAACAGTTAACCATTTGGAGTGAGCAGGTACTGCCCAGGCTAGTAACTAAAGAATTATGTATGGTAAAACAAAATATCAATTTAATACTACAAAAGACAATGAACTTGAATACAAAGAGATTTTTAAAAATTTAGAGCCAAGTATAATGTTATTAGTACTGTACTAAATAAATGCTGTGATAAGCAAGTTTTACTTATAGGGCAGAGTGATCTTAAAATTTTATGCCAATGATTCCAGAAGGAAAGATTCCAGATAATGGGGAAAAGGTACACATTCAGGAAAAACAAAGCCAAACGACTTCATGGGATGTTGACAGGCCTCTATTGAGTGTTCTGTGACTGCAGTGGGATATAGACAAATGTAAGCTTAAAAAATGTTCCAACTAAAATTATTGGGCCCATTCTCTAGAATATATTATTTCGAAGCCTCAATCATCCACTTCGCTGGGTGCTGGAGTAGACTCAGAACTCTTTTCTAGGGTAGTGGTTCTCAGGTATGGTTCCCCAGACCAGCAGCATCAGCATCACCTGGGAACTTGTTAGAAATGCAGATTGTGAGCCTCATCCCAGACCCACTGAATCAGAAACTCCGTGGGTGGGGCCCGGCAATCAGTGTTTTCACAAGCCCTCCAGCTCATTCTGATGCACTAAAGTTTGACAAGCACTATTCCAGAAAAAATCTTGGTCTCGCTTACAGTCTCTCATTTTTACATAGAGATGGATCTGCCTTCTACTCAGGCATCCATCTTCATTAGATTTTTAAGAGTTTTATAAGAGAAGTGAGCATTATTTTGGTGATTTATATTTTGGTTTTATTTTATTTTCCCTTTGGCATATTTTTGTCATGTGGTATTTCATACTGCTATACTAAATATATTTCAGGATGCTATGGCACACTTTTTTTAATAATGGGGTAGAAGACAGGGAGAAAAACAGACAATAAATTGTAAAAATCTACATTTAGACTGAGTCATCTGATTACTTGCTAAAGCTGTCCTTTGATATGTGGCTTTTTCTCTGGTTCTGTACCTCATACCAATGAAGTCGACTTGGCTAAGACAACATCATGACCGGGCAATAACTGGTATACTGTATAGTCCTCAGGCATACTCCAGCGAGGTAAAGCATTTCATGCCTTGTTCTTTGTTAGGCTGTGGGCACCTTTACTTGGGTTATCAGCCTTATGCAGGCACCAGAGAGTAAGTGGTCTTGACCTTTCCTAATTTATATTACAAAGGTCATGCAGCTGTTCCTGAAAAACTTTCAATCTTCCATTCCCCTTTCTTAATAAAAATCACAGTAATTATTCCCTTAAGATCTCTCCATCAATTATACTATTTGCCTCTGTACTTTATGATTTGTTCAGCTCATCAACAACTAGCTTGAGAGCATTGATTTCTATGTTCTTTAATTTACAGGATGTGACAAATTTTTATGTTGCATTACTTATTTTTCATTCAGCTTAGTGTTATAAAATTCATTCCTTTTCTCATTTAAGGTAGAATTTTATAACGAACGTGTAACACTACAGATTTCTTAGAAAAAATACCTAAAATAACATAAAGAAATGTAACACTGAACTATTTTCTCAGATTTTCAAAAATAAAAAGGAGATTTAAAAAAAGCTCTAGCTCAGTGGAAAATGTTTATACCTAGCTCATATTATATCCCTGGTATACCATTAATTGTTGGTTCTCTTTTGGGAAATTACTTAAGAAAACCCAGGATCCAAGAGTGACCTGTAAAATACATAATGCACCTTTTTATCCTAGGAAATTTTAAGGATGTTTCCTATGGAACGGATGCACAGTATAGTCAATTCGCTGTTAACAGAAGAGATCCAAGGTACAGGTAACCTTTGGAAATTCAAACGTCTACACTTGTCTTTCACCAGGAATATGTTGGAGGGCGGAGATTATTACACTTTTAACATTCTGGGAAGTTGCAATAACAAAAATGAAGTAACGCCTGAGCCCGGTGAAGGGGGGATCATGGCGGAAGCTCCTTAATTCCTCCAGCCCTCAGATGGGCTCCTATCAGAGAAACACATGTCAGTGTATGCAGGGCTGATTTTTTAGTCTTCAAGTGTATCACAATAGGTTGATGAAGACAAATTTGGGAGGGTTAATTGAGAAGTTTTGTTTCAAAGGCATTTCTGTGTGGCTGACCCAGAACTTTTATCCAAGGACTCTTCTGTGGATCAGACTCTAAATGTCTTCAGTTTCTGAATCTCTGACTTTACCTGTGCACCTTGTATGGGAGACATCAGAACTGTGTGGGGTGGAGTCAACAGTTACATCAGTGTGTTAGGTTCCAGAGTGGATTTCCATATACAGCGCTTCAAGTTCTGAGGCAAATTAGACAGTGACCCTGCACTCTGTGAGGTGCTGCACGATGTTAGCAATAACAAACATCAGTCCTAGGAGGAAGAGTGAGCAAAAACAACCTCCTCTAAGTGCTGGCAATGGGCACCATCTTGTCACAAAACTCCCTTTCGTTTACACGTGTTACAACCCAGTACTACTATTGATGATGAGGATGATGATGACCACAATGACAGCTAACAATTGCTGACCACTTATAATTACCAACTACCTTATATAGATAAGCTCATTTCATTTTAATATCCCTAATAATGGCTACTCCTATTAGCCTCATTTTGTAAAGGGATCAACCAAGGCACAGAGAAGTAACATAACTTGCCCAAGGTCACAGAGCTTTGTGGAGGCAAGGTTCAAGCCCACCGGGTTTGATTTCAGAGCTTGATCTCCTAGACATTATTGAATACTTTTCCTATCCATCATCATCATTGCCACAACTGCCACAGTTTATACATCTACAGTACTTTATAAAATATATAATGCACCTTGAAAACATATCCAGAATCATACCATTTCCATCCCACCTTGATCTAAACCAACATTACTTCTTCCCTAGATTAAAATAACAGATTCCTGACAGGCCTCCTTATGTCTGCTCTGCCCCACCTATAGTTTACTCTCAACCCTGCAGCCAGAGTGATTCTTATAAAATGAGTCAGTTCATGTCCTTGCTCTGTTCAAAACCATCCACAGACCTTATTCCAAGTCCTTGCCATGGCCCACTAGGCCCTCCATGGCCGGCCTCCACTATCTCATACTTGCTCCAGCCACACTGGCCTCCCTGAGGTGCACTCAGGGTACCACCACTCTCCCGTCTCAGGCCTCTGCGCTCACTGTTCCTCAGGCCTGGCACACTGCTCCCCTTGTCTCTTCATGGCCCACACCCTTGCTTCCTTCAGGTCTTGGCTTAATTGTCTCATTTTCACTGAAGACTTTTCCGATCAATTCTTATAAAGTAACCCTCTGCCCTAGGTACTCCTACCTCCTAAACATCCAACTACCATCTATTCACTTATTTGTTTATTGCCGTGCCCCCTCCCATAATGGGATAGATCCATGAGGGCAGAGACTTTTGTTTGCTGCAGTCTCTCCTGTCCCTAGAACAGCGGGGGCTCAGGAAATATTTGTTGAATGAATAAAAACTTATATTTCCATGATCTCCCCTAGTTCTGAAAACAGTCAGGACACAGGTATTCATTTCCCTTAATTTTTTTTGCTGGAGAAGATTCGCCCTGAGCTAACATCTGTGCCAATCTTCCTCTATTTTGTGTGTGGGATGCCACCACAGCATGGCTGATGATTGGTGTAGATCTGCACCCGGGATCCAAACCTGAGCTGCCGAAGTGGAGAGCACCGAACTTAACCCCTATGCCACAGGGCCGGCCCCCCATTTTCCTTTTATACAGATGAATAATCTGAGGTTCAGAGGATAAAGAACTGGTTAGCTAACAAATCCTTAAAAGAGAAGACTTTTAATTAGCAGAGACTCAAACAGAGGTCAGACACTGTCCTTATCCAATATCCTAAAAGCAAAACAAAACAGAGCAATCTCTATTTTAATGTATTTTATTTTTCTAGCTGTAGAGTTTGCAGACACATTATAAATTATAGGAAAAAACCCAAAAAACTGGTACTCACTCTGGTTTTGACACTTCGGTCACTTCCAGCTTCCAACAAGAGTTTAATACATTCTTTATTTCCATTTTTACAGGCCAGGTATAGAGGTGTCTGTCCTCCGTCAGCAGCATGATTAATGTTAGCATCATATGCAATTAATAATTGTACACACCTAAACACAAGATTATGATTAATTACATAAAAACTGGATTTGATTTCTGAAGCACCAAGATATTAAATATAGAAAACAATGCTAAAGCAATTCTGCATCTTTACATACATCAATTATACATACATATTTATAATCAATTACCGTGAGTCTTATTATAAGGGTACTGTTTTTAAACAAAGCTAGAAGATATATTTTAATCACAAATTTAATTACCCCCATGAAAACTGAAAACAGCAGCTTTGATCCAGTGCTAAAACTCGGTTTATGACACTTCTCTGTAACCAACTTGCAAAAGTGGAGTCCTTGGAATATGTTTAATTTATTAGGATGAATGATTTAACTGTGTTTGACATATATATTATTTGTGGTTCAAAATAGTTTGAACCTTGAAAAAAGTTAGGCTGCTGAGTCATTCTGAGATTTTCACTTGAGAAAATAATCATAAATAGCACAGACAGCAGGGCACCATGTACCTCCACTATAAAAGGCAGCAGGAGACAGAGGAAAGGGCTGCCTTGGGGAGGGAAGACGGCAGAGGCTGCCTGTCTCCTGCACGGGGGCTAGTTTACGAGGAAAAAGACACAGCTAAGCAGAAACTCATCGCCCTGAGAATCAAGATGGAAAGAAATGAGGTAAATTCAAGACATAGTGGCACTTAGTAACTAGCTAAACACCGAGAGCTTGAGTTTGTAAAATTAGATGAGAATAAACTTAGAAAAGAGGGCTAAATCATAATCAAATTAAGAAGTACTTCACATTGTCTTCATTGTTTTGCTCAGATGCATGTTTTATTCTTGGCTTTCCTTGGCAACATTTGGTGTGTGTGTGTGTGTGTGTATATATATATATAAAATA